CCCCAAACCCCCAAAACCCCAAAACCCCGCTTATTGCTTTTTTAAAGATATTAGTAGCTATGAAATACTCTTGTTATAAATGAATAGATAGTTATGATATTTATTCACTCTCGCTTACTCTTGACTTATATAGAATTATATAAATTATCAGAGCTGCTTCTTAGGCTGCCCGTTTTATTGGTGTTGCTCCTATTAGAGTTCTTTAGATTGCTATCTCAATTCATTCAAGACTATATCAAAGATGCACTTCTTCAACTGGTCTCTGGTAACTCTTGCTGTCTCTAATTGATCCTATTTAACTCCAGCATTGGCAAAGAATGTTTCTGCGTAAGACTTGGCTTCACCGTGTGATTCGAAGAATTAACTTGCCATTAACTCGGTATATGAAATGAAGCCGTCCTGATTCATGTCAAAGTGTGACATGTACTCATCGGCCTTGGCTTGAGCATCGGCTTCAACTTACCTAGGATTCACATATTGGTAGTTATCAAATCTCAGTGATGGTTTAGGAACCGAGATACTTTTGACTTCGTCGAGTTTTTGGAGAGTACTCTTCTCTCTTTTATAAGTATTCTATAATCTTTGTATCATCATCTGTTCATGCTATTCCATCTCTTTCAATTTCCTCTCCAATTCCTCAGCGTCTTTTTGTTAGTTTTGTATCTTTGACTCGTAGAACTTTTGATTAGAGTTAAGAGTCTGATGCTACTGACTTGACCTGTTCATAATGGATTGTCTGATATTATTCTTATGATTACAGAAAGCTTGTTCCCTTTCTTGGAGATACTGATGTTTATTGTGATCTATCATCTCCTTAATACGCTTTTTCTGTTCTTTTATTTCCACACCCGACATGTGATTTTGATTCAAGACAGAGGTGAAATTTTAGTTGATCATTGAGCGTTATCGCTATCTAGTCTCATTAATCTTCATTCTGGTATCTTCCTCAGCTTTCTTGAGAAATTCCAAAAATTCTTACTTCTGCTAAACTCTCTGTGCCTTGGTTGTTTTCATGTTCTTAATGAAATCTTGCTATCTGCGTGCCTCTTCGATTCTTCTTCGCGCCTTGCTTTCTTCGACCTCCAATTTCTTAATTCTTGCTTCCAGCTATCCAAGCTATTGTTTCTTTGTGTGTTTATCAAATTTGGCGTTGATCATTCGGTCTACATGCTAGGTCGAGGACAAAGTTGCCGTGAAAGGATTCAGTTTCGACTAAAACAGGAACGATGAAGATGCTGTAGCTCTAAAAGCTAGTTCCGCTGTTGATCCGTCCACACCATGAGAGTTCGATCTGTGACCTTTTTGAGGGGTGTCTTATATATAGGCTGCATCATTTGAGCCATCTGCATTAGTTGTTTAATACAATGGATTACTATTGTCAAAATCGTCGCGGTGAGGGAGATCTTGATCAGTTTAGGAGGCCATTTTATTTTATTTTATTTCCGTATTGTACAATACCTCTCAAATCTATCAAATCTTAATTAGTGGGGTTTTGGGGTTTTGGGGTTTTGGGG